TGCTGGGGTGACTTTTGAGAATGCCAGAACCTTGAGGGCCAAGGACTGGGATCAGAGATGGCTACACGAGCCGTCCACTTCTTCACAGTGTTGCGGAGATCTGAATTTTGGGGGCGGGGAGAAGAGAAGAAAAACCAACACCAAAGTAAAAATAAAAAACCAAAAAAATGTAAGAATCAGGTCATGGCACTGGATCTCACTGGAGGCCCTTGTTTTGATGGAGGGGGTCCCTGTTTTACTGGTGCTTTTTCATTTTGGCCACTCATTGGGGATACAGAAGCCAAGCTTGTGTCCTGCTAGCCACCAGGGATCACTGGTTTTTTTAAAAAAGAAGAGCAACGAATTAGAGTGCTCAAAGCTACATGGTCAACATGTCCACAAAGGACATCTACTTAAAGAGAGGTGACTGGCAAGTCGCTCACAAGTGCCCAAGTCGGAACTGGAGGCTCCCAGGGCTGAACCTCTCAGCAGACAAGGCTGTTGCCAAAAATACCATGAAAGAAAGAAGCCTCGCTCACCCGTCTCATTCTCACTCTATCTGGTTTTTGGATCACAGCCAAACAACTCAGCTAAGCTTCCAGCAAGTAAAATTTTTTTTAAAAGAAAAAAAGGATGGGGGGTGGGGAGGGAGGGAGAAGGGCAGGGAGGGACCAAAGGAGTACATGGACAGAAACATGGGAGCCCCTGTCAAGTGGCCCAACAAAGAGAGATTTTCCTAATTGCTGCAGCTGTCATGACAATACACCTGAACTTAGCACATCAACAGCACAAGGAAGGAACATGGCATGCCATGTTTACCCACGACATGAAAGCACACTTAGCTTCCTTGACTCTTGCTCATTTTCTGATTTAGCCCATTGCCGGTCGGGCCTATCTGGAACCATCCATCCTCTCACTGGGCAAGTGTCTTCCTGTCTGTGGCGTGGGCGGGACCAAGTGCACGGCCTGCCCTGTGCAGGACGGTGGGTGTAGGTACGAAGGCACTAAAGCGGTTTGAAATTGCAGGCAGCAACCCCAAGCACTCCCTTCACCTGGCAAGCTGGAGTTTCCTCCCCACTGGTAAACTTGGATATTCTGACCCCGTGCCCCAGGAGGGAATAAAAAGGAGAAGGCGGCATCACCCAAAACTGACACATTCCACCTGCCCAGCGGAGGGAGGGGGCTAAGTAGGCAGCTGATCTTCAAAACAGCCATTAAATGAGCGCAACAGTAGCTGGGAGCTAAACAAAGTAAAATCACTTGTTCCTCATGAGATTTTTTTTTTTACATTTTCTTCTTGTCCTCCAACAAGCAGAGGTCTGATAGACATTCTTCATCAATAGAACAGTCCATAGGTATTTCTCCTCTAGTAAACCCTACATTTAAAATTTGTCCCAAACATTAATTAACCTATACTTCCTAACTCTTAATGTAGATTCTCAGCAATCCAAACCGTACTCTATCTTACAGATTAGAGTTACTATTATTTTTCTAAGCTGTTCTTTTCTTCCTTTCTTCCTTCCTGTTTTGTTCCTGGGTTGGAGGGGCAGGGAGAAGGGTTCCTTTGGAAAAAAACCAAGAAATACTAGGGGAGATTTCAGTTTAATCTTTAAAGGAAAGGAGAAAAATAATGGTCTTTATATACATCAAAGGCTTTTCCATTCAATTATACACGATTCCAAATGAATCCATGATTGATTATGTTAAAAAAGCTTAGTCCTTCTCCCATTTTCTTCCCCCCAGCGATCATGGATTTACAGTTGCTGCTAAATTGATAATTTTTAAAAAATAGGTTTTTTTCTACATGTTTTAAAATGTGACCCCCAATATGACAATAACATTTGGAGACTTCTTTTTACATTTTCCTTGTAAGTAAAAATTTTCTTTTTAAACTTTGTGAAGTTTCAGGAACTTGTAAAAGTTTATTAATAGGAAAGAAACAGCCGTCTATCTAGGATAAGATACGGTTAAATAAACCATCTTCAAAAAACTGGCTTCCTACCCTAGAATTCCTGAGAATGCTTGCAAATTTTAAAGCAGGAAAAGAAATGTTAAAAATAAAAAACAAAACAAAACACTGTTAAATGCTCCCAGAGTTAGTCTTCATCTAAAATATATATTTATATGTGTGTATATGTCCATATACACACACACACACGCACTTTTTGGTCTTTTTTTTAAGTTTTAATATTTTTTCCCTTTAAGCTTATGATGGAAGAACATTTTAGCTTCTCATGTTTATGTTTACATATTTCAAATCCCTCAGTATGTCTTGTAAACAAGAGGGGCTCTAGCACCCGGCTTTCACCGTAGTATCGTTAAGTAACTCAACTAACCCAGAGTGCAGGTCAAGGAACCAACAGGCAGGAGGAGCAGAGGGCACAGAACCAAGGGTGGCAGTGGATGGGGTCTCCACTGGCTCACGGGAGCCTTTGAATAGGCCCCTGGCCCAGGGACACTTAAGATTTTGCCTTCTGGAGGCATGGGGGCACAGCTGCTCTCCCCGAGGTCACCAGACACGACAGGGCTTTGCTCTGCCTCCCAGACAACAACCAGCGGGGCTGGAAGAAGACTGTTTGTGGGGAGGGGGGAAAAGGTGTGGTGGCGAGGAAAACTGGAGCGTGGGAGAAGGGCACAGTTATTGTCCTACAAGGCATCTGATGGGACCGAACCAGAACCAGATGCTGCTGACTCAAGGCTGAACACCTACCCTACCTACTCACCCACAAAAGGTCAGAAAGACTTGGACGAACCTGTGTCCGTTTGAATGATGCAGGCCAATCTCTTTTGAGGCTAGGTTTATAATCAACAGGGGAAGCCAAGAAAGACGCTAGAATTTCCCATTCTTTGTCTCATGAAACCACTCCAAAGCAAAGAATTTGTTTTCTGACTTTTTCTACACACACACACACACACACACACACACACACACACGCTACGAGTCAAAGACATTAGGCATTGTTGTATCCTTCACTGAAGATGCTAAAGAAACAAACACTCCCTTCTCCTCACTAGCAGCGAGTCACGGAGGATAGCAGAGGTCTGCTCCCACCAAGGGTTGGAATGGGCAGGTGTTTGCTGGTACAGAGTGTCGGCACTTTATGTTAAACAGTATAACGTAGACACAGAAGTCCACCCAAGTGCTAGCACATCACTGCTTCTACCCCTCCCCACCTCCCACCATCTGCTTCTTGTAACAGGGTACCCCTTCAGTTCTGCTATTCTTCACAATAAGCGGCTTGATACATGTTGATTCCAACATCAGTACATACATGTTGGTGATAACTGTGGATTAAAAGTTGCCCCCTATTCTGCCCAGAGTACTACTACATTGACGCATTAAAAATAGTCTTTAAATACCGAAATTTTTTTTAAAAAAGCAACATTATAAGGAAAAACGAAAAGAGGTCAAAAAAAAAAAAGGTGCAATACTTAAAAGTCTTTGCTAAGTTATACCTGCCTAAGCAAAAACACATACACAGGAAATACACAACACAGAGAAACAAAAGGAAACGCTTGAAGTACACACTGGTTTAAGAACATTCGTTAGGTAAACGTTTCTGTCAGTGATGGCCTGGGTGTACCACGCCGCGGCCTGGCACAGGTAACGCTCGGCGAGAGAGGAGCAGAGAGGAAGGAGCTGTGAGCTTCGGGGGCCGCCCCCCAGGCTGCACTGCCGCGGGCACAGATGACAGACAGAACCGGCAGGAGAGGTCTCGTTCGCCAGTTTTGCGATGAACTTCTCGGGTTTGATAGCACAGGGTGGAAAGTGGCAGGAAAGGGACACAGACTTTCTGCTTCACATACTTTTCTGTATTTCTGAGACTTCACACAATTCAGAGCTATCTTAGCTGCTGTCCCTTTCCAGTGAGCCAAAGAGGCTTGTGTGGAGCCCAGTTGAGAGCCAGCTGTGCCTGGTGGCTGCTCACTTTAAAAAAAGAAATGAAAGCAACCCAAGATCAGCAAGCACGCAGTCGCTCCTAGAGGGGCCTCCTGCTGACCTCAGTTCTGGGACTTGGCAGTGCTCCACTCCACTGCTGGGCCCTGGGAAGCAGAGGATGCTGCCCAGGCTCACAGCTGCAAGTACAGGAGCGCCCTGCTGTCAGGAAAAACACCCTGTTCATCTTAATGCAGCCCAATGGAGATGCTTCAGGTGCCCATGGTGTCCTCAAGTTCAAAAGCAGAGCGGATGGCCGGCCAGCCAGCCTGCAGCCTATCAGCATTGCAGCTTTCTAAGGGATGCGGGCAGGGGCAGGAGGAAGAGGAGGGCAGGACACAGGCACGCACGGGCACACGCACACACACGCAGAGACAGGAGGATGCACGCGATGCACATGAACACACGTGCACACACACACCAGAACGAGCATGCCTGGGCAGTTACATGTGCCAGAACGCACTGGTATTGATCAACCAGCCAATCACAAATTTTTTTCCTTGTTTTTTTTTCTGTTTTGTTTGTTTTTGATTTTTTTAGATTTTTTTTAGTTTTTGTTTTTAAAGTGAGGCTCCGTCAAGTCTTCCCTCCCACCTCCCCCAACAATTCTTTTGAATTCCCCTCCCTCCCAACATGGTAGACCTAAGGACGGAAACACACCCAGTGCAAACAAAGTTAAAAAGCTATTTTTTTTTCAGTATATATGTTTCTTAGCAACAACTTCCGTATAACATGAAAAAAGTGAAAAACTAGAAACTAATTTTTTTAATTTTTTGTGTTTAGATTTAAATGGTATGTGTACTCGCTTCACATTGTCTTTCTAGGTTGGCGTTCATGATTCAAGTATTTCAAGAGTGATATGTTCTCTTTTTGGATTCATATTCCAAACGAAAAAACTGAAGTTATAAGGGAGGCAACTATGTGCTCAGACAGTCTGTCAATGACCCACCTTTTTTTCTCTCTCCGTTTTCTTTTTTCCTTTTAAAAATGTATTTATTGCAAGTTGAAAAAAAAACGAAAAGGTCAAGTAAGTGCTGCTGCTGTTCCAAAAAAGGTCACGAGGTCAGAGTTGAAAGTTCTAAGTTCAGATTGAATCCGACCCTCCTCCCAGAAGGTCACCAGGTAGTAAAGAAGCAGGGCTGCCCATCCGATGGGGATCTTCCACAGTCGGGACTCCCCACAAGCTAGAAGAATAGTTTGGGGGCCCCCACAACGAAGCGCCAGCAAGGTCGGCCCCGCTGCTGCCAGCACTGCTGCTCCACTGCCCGAGCCCCGTGGACCCCCCGAAAAGATTCAGAGCCGGTCCCACGGGATCTGACTGGTTCTGGCCGGTTTCCAGCGACTGCCAACCTGCGGCCGGTGCACTCGGGGTTGCTGCAGGTGTAGGGGGCTGAGCTTGTGCCAGGAAGCGGCTGAC